TCGAACCTATTCTCAATAACATTGCACAAGCAATTCGGTAAAGCCTGAATTTCTCCCAAAAAACCTCTACTAACTATTACTTTTAGAACCATGATTATCCTCGTTGTTTTTGTTCTGATCATATGCATTGCATGCAAAACAAAATTTAACGGTGAAGCGTATTTTAATACAGTCAATTTTGGTACACTCTTCTTTGGTTTTTTCATCTACGGTTTCCAATTAATTGCTTTTTGTATTATGAACTCACAAATGTTTAGTTCAAACATTCGTGCTGTCGTCTTTACACTTCTGCTTTGTTTTGTTGCCAATTATGTTTATACTTGGATATTAGCATGGCCTGCTGGAATACAATATGTTCTGATATTACTATGCCCATTCTTTGGTGTGCGCTCGCTCTTTCAGGTATGTATTTAAGACTTATTTTTTGTTCAGATTTTTGATTGGATCGTGTTCTATTTAGCAAGCAGTGCTGTATGATTTAGCTAGAAAAGATGTAGCGATATTTCAAACGATCTATCGTCATGTACCGGTGTATTTTTCAACACTAGTAGTAATGATCGTTAGTTCACTGCTCTATTGGGCACTGTCATGGTATTTCGAAAAAGTCTTTCCTGGTAAAGTCATTCAAGAATTTGTTATATACTATATTTTGTTTGTACATTTTAGGTGAATATGGTATTCCACAAGAATGGAATTTTCTATTCAAACGAGAATATTGGCGTAGACCACCGGTGAAAAATCAGATTTATTCTTATGATAATCATGCAGCAACATTATCCACACAAAATCTATCATTGCCACGAAGTAATTCAATCGGTACACCCGTTGTTCATGTTGATCATCTCGTGAAAAAATTTGGACCTGACAAAATCGCTGTCAATGATGTTTCATTTGATCTCTATGAAAATCAAATCACTTCATTACTCGGACCCAACGGTTCAGGAAAAACTACTATCTTCAATTGTCTCATCGGAATCTACAAACAAACATCAGGCACAATCTCCATGGCCAATCCCAATGGATCCGACTACGACACCACATCCAACATTGATATGCTGAGAAAATCGATCGGATATTGTCCACAACATGACATTCTCTTCGATCTATTGACCATCGAAGAACAATTACAATTCTATGCATCGGCTAGAGGATTCGGCAAATACAAACAACAAATATCGGACGAAATGCTTCGACTGGTTAATCTTGAGAATTCGAAAGATATGTTTTGCAATGCCTTGTCAGGTGGAATGAAAAGACGTCTCTCATTAGCATGTGCTTTCGTTGGCGACACAAGAATTATCTTACTTGATGAAGTAATCATTTACTTTATCTTTCTTCTGATACTCAGAAACAATTCGTATCGCTTTGTTTCAGCCATCGAGTGGACTTGATCCAACAAATCGTCGTTTACTATGGGATTGGTTACGCACAATGAAAGAAGGAAAAACTCTGTTATTGACAACACATTTCATGGAAGAAAGTGATGCTCTCTCCGATCGAATCATGATCATTACAAATGGAATCATCAAAGCAGATGGAACATCAGCCAAACTCAAGGAAGAATATGGATCAGGTAAAACTATAAAGCTGATCATGATAAATTCTTTCGTATTCTTTTGCAATTGCAGGTTATAAATTAGTTGTCAATCGACAATCCAATCAGAATGCAAATGCAATTGCTGATGAATTACATACTTATTTACCTAAAATGGTAGCTGAAAGTGATATACCTGGTGGTGATATTGTCTTCCGTACAAACCAACAACCAGATGATCGATTTGTTCAAGCATTACGACAACTGGATGTGATGAAATCGAAAAATATGATCAAAAGTTATGGTGTTCAGAATAGTACCATGGATGACGTATTTCTGAAAATCACTAATGATACCAAAGACGAAGGCGGCTCTGAAACAACCACGGTCACCATGGAGCGTATAGGTCAGTGTAAACTGTTTCGTTATTCAATACACGAAACAAAACTTTTCTTCTTCTTAGATGAACAATGCCGTCAAGTTTTTGAGAATCAATATTTTCTTACCGGATGGAAATACTATTTAAGTCAACTGTATGGTTTACTGATGAAAACATTGATGATTCGATATCGCCGATGGGGACTGACTCTTGTTGTTTTATTATTACCAATCATATACAATCTACTATCGAATATTATTGCACCAGCACAGGGCAGTGGTGATACTTTCAAAATGCAAGCAACTTTATTGAATCCTCAAACAATTCTATACACATCAAATCCTGTTTTTGAAGGTTACTTCCAAGAAGCTGTCGGAGCCAAATCAAGTGGTTTAAAATTTGAGAAAAGAACAGAGACTATCTCTGAACTAAATCGATATATTTGGCGTAAACTTTCATCAGTTTGAGAGACAAGACTTTTCACCTATTATTTCTCTTCTAGAAAAACGAATGGATCATCCTTATACTTACACAGACATTTATCTCGCTTTTCAAATTCCTCCTCCACAAGGCGACACTTACAAAATACAGACCTTATCGTCGAATTTGATCACTGGCTATGAAGTCATCTCAGTTGCATCAAATTTATTCTATAAATATGCATTAGGTGATACAAGTGCATCAATTCAATCAACGCTCATTTATAGGAGAACCGGAAATTTCACAGTTGAACCATCTGTTAGCGGTGCTATTGCTGTCTTGAATATTGTTTCGTGTTTTATCAAAATTTTACCATTCGGATTGATCTTAGATGTGTAAGTTTTCTTCACGATAAATACGAAGATTCTGAATGATCATGACTTTCCGGTTTAGATTCGTGTACTATGCGATATTCTTATACACAGCCGTATTTTTAACTAGCGAACGCAGTGATAACTTTTTGTCGTTACAAAACATTAGCGGTCTACAGTAAGTTTATCCGTAGCTAATCTTTGACACTACATAATGCTCTTTAAATGAAAATTTATAATTCTAGTCCAGTATTATATTGGCTTTTCAATTACATATTCGATGTGATTAGTTCTGTTATTTGGTTCTGCTACTTACTTGCTATGTATTGTTTATTTGACGTTGCTTTTAACGGTGTACCAAAAACGCAATCAGCAGCAGCCGCTATGCTTACGATCGAATTTGCTAGTGCATGGGATTTAAGAGTACAATTCTATCCATTGACTATACTCATTACTATGGCAGCTTTGCCATTTACATATCTGGTGACAAAACTCATTCGAAGTGACATTCTCGTATGAAAATCTTTCTATCAATGTTTTCTTCAGTGTTGTTTTCGACTATTTCATTTAGTGTGGATTAGCTGTAATGATCGTATTGGTCTTAACTCACTTGATTAGTACTATTTTACTGATGATACTAGCATTAGTCAAAGTACAAAGCGCTCTAAATATATCATATTGGGTGCTGAATCTACTTTCACCAACAGTGAATGCACAGGCGATAGTGACATACATTTTAGCAGGCAAAAGTCGATTTTGTCAAGTAATGGCTGGTCAAATCTCTATTTTCTCGCGTACTGGAGATGATACGATGGCTTTGAATTGGATTATTCTTATCGCACACATAATTCTACCGTTATTGCTCTTAACCGCAATAGATTGTGGCTATGTCAATATATCGTTTAAGTCACTTCTTTATAAAGCTCCTGTGCAGTTCGATGAAAATGCACTTGATAGTGATGTTCTAGCTGAACGTCGACGCATTTTGAATTTAGACCAATCGGCATTAACACAGCGTCATGTAGACGCAGATGCTGCGGCAACAGAACAACAAGAAACTGATCATATGGTTGTTCATGACTTAGTTAAACATTTTCCAGGACGAAATGTTCTCGCCGTCAATCATCTGACATTCGGTGCAAAACGTGGCGAAGCTTTCGGTCTACTCGGTTACAATGTAACACTTCTAAACATACTCATTTCAACGCCGCTATTCCTTTCTTTTCATATTTCATAGGGTGCAGGCAAAACAACAACATTTCGCATTCTTGTTGGTGATGAAACAGCAACACAAGGAACTGCTTACATCGATGGACAAAATGTCAAACGTCGTCTTAGATCGCTACGCCATCTCGGTTATTGTCCACAACAAGATTGTCGAATGGAATTCTTAACTGTTCAAGATGCTCTCTATCTCTTAGCGCGGATACGCGCTGTACCTTTCTCACGAGTTCGCTCTATGGTACAAACTATCAGTTCATTGTTTTTACTTGATCCATTTCTTCACAATTACATCCATCAACTCAGTGGAGGAACAAAACGACGATTACATGCTGCACTTGCATTGATTGGTAATCATAAAACTCGTGTCATTTAGTTTTACACCTATGTCTCTTTACAGGACCACCATTAGTCACGATTCTCGACGAACCAACGACAGGTGTTGATCCAAATGCTCGACAACGAATGCAAGAAATCTTTCTAAATGCTGTCAAAGCGAAACTAACAATCATTTTGACAAGTCACTCCATGGATGAATGGTAAAAGAGGAGATACAAAACAATTGAAGAGTCATTGTCAGTTTTGTTTAGTGAACGTGTCTGTAATCGTCTCGGTATCATGTATTATGGTCAGTTGGCATGTCTAGGTACGATTCAACATTTGAAATCCAAGTTTGGTCATGGTTACTCAATATCAATCAAAGTGAAATTTCATTCAGGTGATGTTCAGGGTCAAGCAATTGAAAACGTACAAGCATTTTTACTATCAAAATCAGAATTCGGTTTTCAAATTTCCGAGAAAACACATTCAACAGCTACATTTCAAGCAAGAAATGGTACACCAGCTGATCTATTCCAACTACTGGAAGAAAATAAAGAACTATTAAAAATTGAAACTTATACCATAACTCAGACAACGCTTGAACAAATCTTTTTATCATTTGGTAAACAGATAGACGCGGTTTAATGACAAATTCTTTTGATTTCTATTCCTTATTTTTTATTATTAAACTGTTTATTTTCTTTCTCCGCATTTTTACATGCAATAAAGTTTTTCAGAAGCCATATATCGCCTCTCATGAGCTTATCGTTGAATATGATGAACGATCTGTTATATGACGCATGACCTGGTTACGTTCCGGTGTGATGATACGTTTGAAGAAGATCTCCGGAAAAGAATTTTCACTATGCACTTCGGTTATCTCATCCTCTAATTCAAGATCGACTTTGATTATAGGATCATTCTCTTCGAAATCGATTTCAATTGACGAATCTTCTAGTAGATTATCATATTTGACAAGAGCTTGTATCTCCTGAAGAGATGTCGACTCAGCAATGATTCTATGATTCAAATCTGTCGGTGAATCCACCGCGATTGTTTCATATTCTAGAGCAAGTGGTGATTCATCTAAAAATAATTTCGTTATCACGTTTTTTTCTAAAAAGCAAAAGTTACTTGTTGCTGAGTTGGAATAATTCAGATGATACTGTTGATGGTGATCATAAGACTTCTGGTCGTCAATGGCGGAAAGAACTTGAATACTTCCATCTGGACAGAGATGTATCAATCGCTTTGGATTAAAAGGCGGATGGAGAAGTAATTGACCGCATAAATGACTTTCTTTTTCTATAAAAGAGTACAGACAGGTTTTGAAATGTTTGAGTGGGTTTTGAAAAAGACCTTGACTGGTATTTGCAGGTTGTTCTTTGAGAATATGCGGAGCTTTCCAAGCAAGTAAATCAACAATTTCAGATATCTGATTGACATTCGATAAATTGAGTTTACTGCAAAGTCGCTGATATAAATTATTCGTCTCAGTTGACTTCTCGTTTGGCAGTTCATCAGAAATAACGACGGATTTAGAGCGAAGCTTTACCGTTTGTTTAGTATCATCTTTGTAATCACTTTTAGACGAGTTTTGTAAACTCTAAAGTAAGTATTGATTAAAAAAAAGGAGAATAGACACGTATGATGTTACTTTTCGATACTTTTCTTGTGCATTGTGTATGGAATCATTGACAAATACTTCCGCATCCAATCTCAATTGGCTATCGTCATTAATTATATCTTGGGATTGCTGAGAAAGTGGTGTATCATGATCAGGAAACGAGAAAATCGATTGATTTTGCTCGTACGTTTCATTCTCTTCTCGTGATTGTGTCTGCGGAGATCGAAGACTAGGTGACACAGACAAACCTGAGTAAGGAGTCGATTGTGTGTCACTCGCATCGCTGAGTTTCGGTGTTTTTTCTCTCGATACTTTCTCTTGTAGCGGAAATGCTACATTTGGGAGATGAATCGAGCGGCAATGTCCACAACACATTCCTCGATTCGTAAACATTAACGGTTGACATGATCGATGGCATAGTTCATCGGCTAGTTGTTCACGTGAACCAATTTTCTCTAATTGTGATAAATCAATTGGATGGTACGGGTGACTATCATTCGATATTAGAGTTTGACAATGGGAAGAAGGAAGAGGTGCAACAGTAATATGTGAATTGATTGTTCCGAAAGTCTTCGATGGTTTTTTCTCTTTCTGTGTAAATTTTGGATTCGATGGTGTTCGATTTAAATTTACATTTGATATTGGACGAATTGTTACACGAGTTTGATTGCAAAGTAGATTCGATTTCTTACTATAACTTATCGGAAAATCAACGCTTTTCATTCACATGCTCCAATCTACCGTGAATACTGAGAATGGCTGCGAGGCAATCGATGATAAGGAGCATTTTCTCCTGCTGAATTGTTCATTGGGATAACATTTATCGGGATTGTTCCCATTTTATCTATTGAATCGTAGCAGATTTCTCCCTTCGCTAGAAGGAACACTTGCCAAAAAGATCGAAGTAAAACTTCATAGATCGATTGTAAACACCATATGGAATTATTATAAATAGTGATAAAAGCTTCTGTTAAACAATCAGGACTACCGTCTAAACTATAACAAAAGAGGAAGTTGCTCTTTTTTTCGATGAAAGTATTGTATTTTCTCACTAGTTTGATTCGGTTCTTCGAATTAGAAGATGATTTTTCCGTTGTTTCGTCTCTAATTCCATGAAAATATGATCATTCAAAAAAAAGCAGAAAAAAAACATAGAGAAACAGGTGCGATTCACTGGTTAATGGGAGATGATATTCATATTTGACAGAAAATATAAACACACGCGCTTTTCTCAATTCAACAGTTTATCTTTATGAAGATGGCGCCTGTTGTTGACTTTTCTCAAAAATCCTCTCTTTGTTATCACATAACAAAGATATGTACACCGAACCACGTATTATACTTTTGTTATTTCATTGTAGATTGTCAAGCATAAACAATGTTACATAATAATCACGGAAGATCTCGTTCAAATTTCCATCAAGTCAAAAGATTGAACCACTTCAATCGAAATGACAATCATCAAATTGTAAAAACGATAGTTACACCGATTTCTACGAAAAACATAATCGTTGTTTTCATTTAGAAAAACTTACCGGCGAATCTTCTCAAAGATCATCTATTTGAAAGAACGATGAATTATGTAAAATATTTTGATTATCCATTAGCACAATTACTCACAGACCATTCAACTGATCCATTACAAAATACCAGCCGACAATATATCGATACAGATACAACGATTTCAAGTGAAGGTCGTTTTGTAAATCATGAAATGGATATCCGTCGAAATGGCGAAACAACAATTCTTCGGCCTAAACAAGACCCAGTCCTTGCTAATGGATTTACGCCAGTGATTCGACCTTCTTCGAAATTGCCATCATATCAGTCGATAATGTCTCATTCTCAAGTATCATCAGCATCATCTTTATCAATTATGAATAAAATGTCAGAGAGGAAACAACCTGAACAAACACCGATAATCAAAACCAAACGAAAGAATCGACATCGACCAAAACGATGCAATGAGAAAGTCTTTGAACCACATAATTACAACGTAAAGTTTGTTCTAACTAATAAAACAGCAAACAATGCTTTCTTTGGTACAGGTTTTTAATGACCAATGTCAACAAACGCCGCAGAATTCAAATGTTGTCAATTTCTTCAAACAAACCCTATATGATCTTATTGAAGAAGTATGTGTATATACTATATTCGTGTGAGAAAAAACTTGAAATATTTTCCAGCCGGATTACTTTCCTCCACCACCGCCACTGATGTCGATCCGGCCTGAATTTCATAGTCCACCGCCTAACCCTTTCGTAAGTTTTGCATTAATTGATGAAGTATACGACCTTTCTCCTAATCTTTTCAGTATCAACCGCATTTTGCCGATCAACATTTCAATCCAAACTATTATAAATTTCATTCTCCTCCTCCTTCATCGCATTCCTCAGTCAATAATCGATACGACGAATCTTCGTATGATCTTCCATTCGATCATTATCATCAACCACATTCGAACCATATTTTACCATTCGATTCTTTTTGTGCGAACTCATATCAATCTCCTCCGCACACTTATACCCATTTGTTCAACTGAACAACCTGCCACATCCATACGGAATTCTTTTATTTAAGTTACTTGTCCATATTTACATTGTTGCTGATGTTGCTTTTCTATTCATTTGGTAGTATTATGTATAGCAATCTTTTTCTTCTGTGATAAAAACCTTCGTGATTGGTTAGATCTCGAGAAAAAACAATAATGCAAAGCTGTTGTTTTTTGTTGTTATTTGCCATTATCCATCTTATTCATGTAAATAGACAAGCATAAGTTAGACAGATCTCTCCCCCGTGATTGCTTGTTCTGTCGGATGAGAAGAAATGTCGGCAAGCATTCGGTTAGGTTCTTATCGATGGTTTACTAGTATATCTACATCGATAATTATCGAAAAGAAAGGTCATATTCTATGATTGTTCGAGAGAAGACAGAAGGGAGCTTGTTTATCACGTTTTGCGTGCAATTCAATTGAAAGATGTGCTTGCAAATAGTGTAATTGATGTTGAAATCAATAGCAAACAGATTGATTAGTTGTTATCCGAAATGATTTGTTAGATTGTTGTTGTTTTTTCGGCTAAATCGTATTAAAAGATTGCATCTCGCATAGAATATTAAATTGAATAAAACGAAGAAAAGGTAAAAGAAGAAAAAAAAACACAACCAGGTTTTTCAAAGAATATTCTTAAACAAAGAGAGAAGAAGGCTTTGCTAAAGGTGATCAGAGTTCGAAACGAGTAAAGAATTTCCGAAGAGAAAAAAAAGATATGAGATCAAGTTTGTTCTGTTTCTGAATATGTTTATACATGAGAAATAATGGACTTGGATATTAAGTAATAAGCAAATCCATTTATTCGTCATGATGAGCAGCACCAGGTGGTGGGGCATAGTTCGGCTTATTGCTACAATTGAAAGCAACACAAATCAGTAATGCATTCCGAAAGAAAACAACAGGAGGCTCTTACCTCATCTCAGATCCACTCTTGTTTCCTAAATGTTCGCCAGTATCCATACCTAATGTACCAGCACCTTGTCCGAAACCATAGCCTTTTGGTCTGGAAACGAATGTCAATCTGTGCTTTTGATTATGCATATGGTCGATAACTTACCCGAATTTACGACCGTAACATTGTTTGCAGAAAATGTTTCCTTCATGCACAGCCATCGTCATAGCTTCTAACATTTTCTTGCAGAGACCTAATTTATTTAGAAGAGATGAAATGAATTATTGGATTCTTTCCGGTCATGTGTGACGTACCGCATTTGAAGCACATTTTGTGCCATTTCTTTCCGGCTGCTGCGACTTCTTCAGCAGCATAGACGTTTTGATTGCATTTTGGGCCTAGGCAAAAGCAGAAAATAACAAGACAAGTTTTATCTCTGGTCTTACATTTGAACACTTCGGCTGGTGTAAATGGCATGATTGTATGAGAAAAGACGAATTAGAACTGGACACAAAAGGATAAAATCTAAAATAATATCGAATGATTAGAATTTGTTTCACACCCATCTTGTGTATCATAGCGAAGCGGACGAATAAAAATATATTAACGTAGAAGAAGGAAAAAACTTTGAGCAGAAGAAAAGTTCATGAAATTTAGATTTGATTACTCCGCACTATCATTGTTGATCAAGACCAGGCGGTGGAGCATAATGTGGTTTATTTCTAAATCAATGAAGTCATATGTAGTAACAAGAACAACTGTCAATCAAGATAGGATAGACTTACGTCATTTCGGAACCCGCTGTATTTCCAAGATGTTCTCCTGTGTCCATACCGAGTGTACCTGCACCTCCACCAAAGCCTACGCCTTTTGGGCCCTATAATTTATTAGATTAGTGCGTGTCAAAATGAAAGCAAACGCAATAACTTACGAATTTACGCGCATAACATTGTTTACAGAACAGATCGCCTTCATGTTCAGCGAGTGTTGTTGATTCTAACATCTTTCTGCACAAGCCTGAAAATAACAAATGGAAATGTATTTCGCTTGATACACAATCAGACATAGGAGGAGGGTGAGAAAGAGAGAGAGAGCAAGAGCAGAGTATAGGAATCATACTTTACCACATTTAAAACATGTTTTGTGCCATTTTTTACCCGCTGCTTGTACTTCTTCAGCGTGGTAAACAGCCTGATTACATTTCGGGCAACGAACGATTGTTACTGTGAACGGCATCTGGAAATATGAATGAAATCAAGTAGGTACATGCACTTGAGACAAACAAAAACAGCAAATCATATGAGAGGGACAGTGCTAAAGTTATCAAGGATAAATTCCTTAGTTAAATCTATAGATGTACCGGAAGCGTAAGAAATTTTCTTGCCAAAAGCATAAATATTTTGTTTGTGTATTTGTCATTTGACTACTTGCAAAGAGTTGAAAGCGATATATTTTCATTCGATAGATCTATTGAGGAAAAATATTGATATTTATGTATACGTATTCTTTACTCACAATAATTTTGACTTGATCAACTGTAAGCTCTCGTTGTATTTACTTGCATTAAAAAAAACAAGCTAGTCGACTAGCTCTCTAATGAAACTTCTCCTTCTCTGCGAAGAAAAAAAGGATATAAAAACAATACAGTTGTTTTCTTGATCTCTGTTTTTCTTGCTCGCTATCTATACGTATCAGCCGATGTGCAGCTATTCCGTATCTACAAAAAAAAACAATCGATAGCGTCTAGAACATCCTATTTTTCTCTGGGAATGATTGTTGCCAGCATCATCACTGAGAGGACGGCAACGACGAAAAAAATATTGAGTAAATATCTACAGTAGTGAATACGGAAGATGTGTATCTCTACTTGAAGAAGGAGAAAAAGAACGATATCATCACTGTTACCGTGCACAGTATCTCTCATCATTACTTGGATAGCAGGAGAGAAAAATAGCATAAAGAAAACGCACTCTTGAGACGAATCGGTCTTTTCTATATGTACGATGAGTATTTATACATATGCGTGGGCATTGACAGTCTGTGGGCAGAAAAGCGATGACGAGATGAAACTCTAACCTAAATGTTCCTCCCAAATTTGGCCCTACTAAGTCGATTGCAGAAACGACCATTTACAACCAATATTATTTCCTTTCTGTTCTTGTCTAACCACTGGTAAGATGTGCCTCATCTACCATAGTTAATCTGGTATATTTCCTTTCTTTTCTCCTTTCTCGCCAATGATATTCTGATGATCAATCACGTCGTCTTACGAAAGGAAAAGATCTATATCAAGCCAACGCTACTGGCAATTAGGAATGTTTTTTTTCTTTTTCTTTCTGTAAGATATCAATAAAAGGAAGACAACAAAGATTCCCTAAAAAAGCTACTCATGTATTGTTACTATTTAAGTCATGTCCCAGTTGTTGCTCATCTAATTACTGCCTGATCTATTCTATTCTTAAATATTTTCTTTGACCAAGGTCATACTGAAGATTTCTCTAAATGCGTAGGTGTTGATTGAAGACAACCCATAAAAATGTATCCAACACGAACGACCCTTCAACTAACTGGATATCATTAGCAGAAAAAAAATAGATCAGTACATAACATATATACACAAAATCAATCATACAAAACATTTGTGGGCTTTCTACTCATTGTATTCAGTATAGAATAAACATGTATTCAGGCTACAGAAAAATCAGTTGATATTTATTTGTTATCGCAGAAAATCTACATCGAATAAAATCCACGTCGAACTAATTAATCAATCAAGCAAACGAAAAGTTCAATCATCCGATGAAATTCGTCCACAATCTCGACGATGAATCACTATAAAAATGATTAAAAGATCTAAACAGGGAAAAAAACAGCAGAATATCTTATCTGTTTCTTATAGGCAGAGAAATTTTCTCGTTTTATTGTTCTTGGATATGGACAGGTCAACTACGACCGAGAGAAAAACCTCCAGTCTGACATACATGTCAACAAGACATCAACACATATTGCAATGTACTCGTTAAGAAACAAAATCGTATTTGCTTGTATACAGGTTTTGTTGATATCGATGGATAGTCGCAGTTGAACTTCACCATCAATCGGCATCCTATTGATGAATGGTTATCTTAACAAAATAATCGTGTTTTTATCAGTTATTTATGCTCATATGAAATACATTTGTACTATTTTCGTTTGGGTAAATGAATCTTGCGAATCTCTTTTCTGTAATCCTGATTGCAGTGAACTACGCTGTTGCTTAGTTATTCTTCAACGCTAAACGAAGTTTTTCAATTTAACACAAAAACATTCATGAATACGTTACTGCGATCCAATGAATCGAGTGATTTTTGCGATGGAGAATTGTTTACTCATTTCAATTCATCATTTACAACATATAGAAAAATTTTAGCATGCATATTTCGTTTCCGTAAAATTTCAACATTCCACAGATACCAAAGACGAGAGCGATAAGATCTTTCATATCTTATCTTTACGTATATCCAAACGCATTCAACTCAGGTACCACAAAACACACTTCTGATAACAATCGAAAGGGATTCCACACATCTTCTGCTCTTCCTTCCAGTCGGAAGCCCCATTAATAGTATCTAAAGCACAACCGAAAGAATTCTGTTGATATCGTATTAGCAACCCAGATCGACAAATCTGGTAACGGAACTGATAGGATCCTGTCGGATACAACATTCTTACGAAATCCGATAAAATTCAATATCGGATCCGGTATGGGATTGGTCGACCTGGGAGTTTATTACGGTTAACCATAAGCATCAGCAATGAAAGAACTGTCACTGATCGATCACCACAAGTAGTTCGAACTGCACTCAAATAATTAGTTAAAGAACATTACTCGAGTTTAGACGAAAAATCAAGATCACAACAAACACAATTGATAGAAACTGTTGTTTTAGTTGTCTTTCAACAGCTCCATCGATTAATTATCTTTAGATTTGAAAAAGATTCTTCCAACTAATTTGAACGTTTTGATTTATTACTAAAAGATAATTGGCGCTATTCATTTCGTATGCTTTCTCTTGTAAAATTGTCTGTCATTCGTTCCAAAGATTCATAATCAATATAAAGAATGTTATTTTTTGCAAAGCACGCCTTCGCATCAGACAGAAATTCTTCTATATAATCGTCATGAACAATCCAAAAGTCAACTTCACAAAGAAGAGAATATGAGATAACAAATAAATTTTCACTTGATTCTTGACGGTTTTGTGCTTTTTTATTTTTCACGATTAAGATTAGCACGATAGAAATGATTTCTAAATTCGAAGGAAATATTCATGTTCAAAAGGTCATTTTCATCGCATAATGATACTCTATAAACATATTGATACAATCCATCCGGAGAATTGTTGGCGATATAATTGTAATATGTATTTTGAACTGAGTATGAAGAAATATGACATTGACCTTCATTCATTTCGAAAAAAAAAATGATCAATATAACAAACAACAGTCTTAGCTGCAAAACCATTTGATTTCGTCGTACGATTGAGAATATTTTTCGATAGATAATCTTCATCAATAAATCTTGTTTCGCTTGCGCTTGGAACATACAAACCGAGCCATTTCAGGTTTGGCGTTCGAGCGAGAAGTGGACGAATTGTTTGCTCATAAACATGTGACAAGAACTTGAATGAAAACGAACTCGATTCTTAACTTCGTGCACATCAAAAGGATTAGTCATATCAATAATGAGCGTATGGAGCTGATTGTAATGATCATCGATTGTAGTTGGACTTGTAAATACAAAAGTGTTGATGAACGAAAACTAGAAACTAGAAAATCATATAAAACACAATTTTTATGCGATGTATCATCTAATATCATATATTCTAGTTTCGCAAAGATAAGAAAAATACGTTGGAAGATGACTGCTACTGATAAGAGCATGTCAGCAACCTTTTTCTCACAATAGTTACTATAATCTGGTCTGCTGACTTCAGTATTTCCTCGAATTTAAGATAATCAGAAGAGTGAGAAGTTAGTTTCTTGTATGTCACATGTGAGGGATGACCGTGTGCGACAGAATTGTGACAGTAACTGACTACAGTGAAATCATTTGATTTTTATTGATTATCATGGAAAATCTACATAAAATAAAATTGACATTGAATCAGGTAATCAATCAAACAAGCAAAGTTCAATCATCCTACGAAATTCATTGAGCATTTCAATGATGAATCACTATCAACATGATGAAAGTGTCTAAAAACAATGAAAAGGAACAGCATATTTGATGACTTTATTTCGAAGGGAAAAGTTCTATCATTGGACTATCTTTGAATACATGTAGGCCAATTCCAAGAGAAAGACACACTGCTTTAAAAACACATGTCAATAAGATGCTAGTTCATATTCGAGTATACTTGCTGAGAACTAAAATTATAATTACTTGTGTACATTCGTCGATTCTATCGGCGAACTTGTGAACAAGTTTTTGTCGAGATCAATGGATTGCCGCAGTTGAACTTCATCATCTGTTAGTATTCCATCGACGAACGGCGATGTTTGTTTCTGTTAGCAAAATAATCGTTGCTAAGAAGAAAAATTCATGAAATTGTTTACTATTTGTCTGTTGATCGCTGTTGTACTCGTTTGATTTCTTGATCGAAGTTCCTTGGTGAGAGGAAGAACACGACTGAAAATGGTTTCTAGATCAGTTGAACATATTTACTTGAATTTCATGTAATTGAGCATTCATTCGTTGTTTCGATATTGTCAATGCCTGTTCGAGACATTCAATCTTTCGATACAAATTGTAGATAATCGTATTTTTGTCAGTTATTTCCATGTGTAAGACATTCATCTCTCGTTTAGTATGAAGAACATTTTCATTGCATTGACTTATCTGTAAGGAGAAATCATTGACATTCTATGAAAAGAAAATCATTCGGATGAAAACTACAAGATATTAATCATTTACATTTCTCTTCAATTGAGTAATTTCTGATGTCAATTGTCGAATTTTCTCTTCTAATGATTGTTTGTGATAATTCCAATAACTGAAAATCGAGAAGAGTTGAGAATGGTTTGAGGATCGATAGCTCACTTGATCAGTTTATTTGCTTGACCAATATTTGTTTCAAGTTCTTGACGAATGAACTTTTCATAATCAATCTCTCTAAAAGTTGAACTGTTGTATGTTCTGCGCAATGAAAGACAACGGAAGTGAGTTACTTAGGATCAGTTGATGGACTTCCCATAAATTTCTGTTCGAGTAAATGGATCTTGAGAATTTCTTTTTCTTTTTGAGCAGTCTGTAACTCCGATCGGAGTGAACTACATTGTTGTTCACTATTATGCAATGCTAAACGAAGTTTTTCGATTTCGTCCAACTAAAATGTTGAAATCACGTGAAAACATTCATGAGATAATCATTCATTTACTTGTTGATTTGTACGTTGCTTGTAATCTTGAATATCTCTCTCAAGAGATTGTATTTTTGACTCGAATAATGTTGAATTCGTGGAGTTACTGCGTTGCAATGAATCGAGTAAGTTTTGCAATGGAGAATTTTGTGCCTGTTTCAATTGATCATTTTCAACATACAGACGCTGATTATCAACTTCAAGCATCTATTGGAGATTCGAGAAATGGAAGTCTAGGGTATTAAGTTAAGGGAAACAACCTTATTATATTCTCGAAGGCGATGAATTTCAGTTAAGGCATCTTTGATCGATTTATCATCTTGATTAATCGTCTGTATTGTCTTAAATCGATCACATTCTTGCTGAACATTCGAAAGCTATAAAAGTTTCAATAGGATCCAGCGAATTATTCAATAAATATTCACCTGATGTGTTAATTTCTGCATTTCATTATCATATTTAGTGATGATATCTTGAGTAGTTCGTTCTGCTTTGTCTAGCATCATATGCAATTGATTGACCTGATCGACAAAACGAATGATACAATTGATTTGTCAATGAAATTCATACTTCGAAATCTTTTCTTTCGAGTGCAACACGGTTACGAGAACTTTCACATTCGGATACTAGTAAGTCATGTTGTAAATCTTCGAGACGTTTTTGATGATTAAGTAACTTCATCTGACGTCGATTAATGAAGACATCGATCTTTTTAAGAGTCGTATTGA